CCCCTAAGGCATTTAAATACGCTCCAGAAATTCTTAATAATTCAGAACATCTGAATAGCACACTGAGGTAACAAGCCTCACTCATTCAAGACCTTGAAATATATGTAGGCCAGTTCATTAAAACAGTTTCACTTGAAGCTAACAGAAGTGTGGATAGGAATGAAAGAAAAAAGGATTCCGTTTATATGCCTTACATTGTCTCATATATTAAAAAAAATCACTGTATCAATATGTTTTGCTCAGATTTACTTCTACAAGAAGCTGTTGTGTAAGACTGTTACAGCACTCATGCAGAAGCCCATTTCAACCTGTCCACATCTCTGATTCTTTTCAGCAATTCACATAATTCACTGACAACTGGGCCAATTAGAGCTCTGAAGGACTGAGATCAAGTACCTGGGAACAGAGCAGAAATGTGAGGTGATTTTGGCATGGTGACCAGACCTTGTTAGTGCAACTTCCCACATTCGTTACAAGACACACTGTGGCCCAAAAACTATTCTTCCTAAGACACTCAATAATAACGAGCAATACAAACCCAACAAAAAACTGCTTCATAGTATGCAAATTATGAAAAATTGATCCATATCAAAGTGGATAAATATTGTCTGATAGAGCTGGAGAAACCAATCTATCATTTAAATGAAGGAAATCATATTTGTAATATGGTTTCCAGTTTTTCTTGGACCTCAGTCACACAGGCCTGGAGACCAATTGGCTGGACTGTCTCTCAACTATCTGTCTCAGCTGGTTGGCAAGTGAATGATCGAGGTTGAAATTGGACACAAAGTGATTTACAGTGCTGCATTACAATAATATTCCTTATGACTGAGCACATTGTCAGCTGTTTGCATGGAATATGCCAACTTGTCTGCAAACACTTGTAAACTACTTGCCAAGAAGTAGTTAAACTATGAAAAGTGCAACGCAAAACATCTGTTTGCTTATTGCTTATCCCCTTAGCAGTCCAATTAGTCCCCTAAACCATCCAATGTCCCGTGGGCGGTACGTCCGACTGCTAAGGGGTTAAAAAGTAAAAGTTACTCCTTTTCAAGGAAAACTAAAATGCAACTTAATTAAAAATTTACTTTGAAGGTGAATGTTGTATTATATGCAGCAAAGTGGAAGTTAATGTCTTGTGTGCAAACTGTGGGCTACTGTGGCAATCTGATATTGACCAAAACAGTCCCAAGTAGGTTTTTGTGCAACACAATCTTTTCTACTAATTTCACTTGGCAACAACCAGAAACCACTCACAATTGGTCAGGTAATAGATATTTTTGCCAAGTGACTGGAAGTTGCCAGCAGCTCACCAGCTGGTTGCTATCTCTGTGTGACTGAGACTGACTCCATCTATGACTGAGAATGAGATTCCTGTGCACATGAAAAAAGCAACAGAATTCTCTTTTTTAAAAAGTAACTGTACAGGTAGTTGGAAAAAGACCTGTGCAAATTACAGCTTGGCCATGTCAGAAGTGGCAATGAAATTCATCAGGGCTAAAAAAGAAGCTTGCTCAAGTAAAGTGAAATAGTTCACATCGACTGGAATAATTCCAGAGGAGACCAATTCGGTTTGGCTGTATCATCTGTATGTTTCTACGTATTTAAAATGAATGGATATGAACGGACCACTACAAATTCACCATTACTGATAAATGTCTTTATGAATAAGGGGGAGACTAGGGATGGGTACCGGTGTCCGGTGCCACGATGGCACCGGTTCTGATATAAACGGTAGTAACCAGACCGAAAAGCATCGCACATTTCGGTGCTTTATTTCGGGGCTTTTTTTTCCCTGAGCTGTGATACACTTCTAGCCAATCATTTTACGTTTCCGAGGATAGTAGGCGGGCCCAGGTACGTGCGTTCTTTTAGAGCAGAGCTACAGATTAAAAATGCCCAAGGCGAAGCGGTCAAAAGTCTGGCTGTACTTCACAGCAAAAGATGCAAACTCAGCAGCCTGCAACAAGTGCTTTAGGCTGATACTGTGATACTGTGCAAAGGAGGTAACACCTCGAATCCGATGAAACACCTGGCGACGCATAGCGTTTTTTTTTTTTTAAAAGCCGAGAAATGCGCCGTATTTGATAGCTTGCTGCGAGACCTC